CCCAAATTTACACTGAAACCACCTGAACCTCTCCATATCAGACCCAAATTTACACTGAAACCACCATTTTTTTTTTATATCAGACCCCAATTTATTGTGAAAACACCTAATTCTTCATATCAGACCCAAATTTACACTGAAACCATCCAATTCTCCATATCAGACCCCAGTTTATACTGGAACCACTCAGTTCTTTATGTCAGACCCCAATTTATACTGGAACCACCTGATTTTTTAAATCAGACCTAATTCTTGATATCAGACCCAAACTTACACTGAAACCACCCTAAATTCCCATATCAGACCCCAACTTTTACTGAAACGACCTAAATCTTTATATCAGACCCCAGTTCATACTGAAACTACCTAAAGTTTTATATCAGACCTAATTTTTGATATCAGACCCAAACTTACACTGAAACCACTCAATTCTTGATATCAGACCCAAATTTACACTGAAACCACCTAAATTTCCATATCAGACCCCAACTTTTACTGAAACGACCTAAATTTTTTATATCAGACCCCAATTCACACTGAAATCATGTAAATCTTTATTTCAGACCCAAATTTACACTGAAACCATCCAATTCTTTAGATCAGACCCCAGTTTATACTGGAACCACTTCAATTTCCATAGCAAACCCCAATTTATACTGAAACCACCAATTTTTTTTAATCAGACCCCAATTTACGCTGAAACCACTCAGTTCTTTATATCAGACCCAAATTTGTACTGGAACCACTTAAATTTCTATAACAAACCCCAAATTATACTGAAACCACCTAATTCTGTATATCAGACCCAATTCTTGATATCAGACCAGTTTATACTGAAACCACCTAATTGTGTATATCAGACCCAAACTTACACTGAAACCACCTAAATCTCCATATCAGACCCCAAATTTACACTGAAACCACCCAATTTTTATATCAGACCTCAATTTATACTGAAGCCACCTAATTCTTTATATTAGACCCCAATTTATAGTGAAACCACTTAAATCTCCGTATCAGGTCCAAATTTACACTGAAAACACCTGATTTTTTATATCAGACCCCAATTTATACTGAAGCCACCTAATTCTCCATATCAGACCCCAATTTATACTGAAACCATTTAATTTTTTTATATCAGACCCAGATTTGCACAGAAACCACCTAAATCTCCATATCAGACCCTAATTTATACTGACAACACTCAATTCTTTATATCAGACCTAAATCTTGATATCAGACTCCAATTTATACTGAAACCATCCAATTCTTCATATAGACCCCAATTTATACTGAAACCACCTAAATCTCCATATCAGACCCCAATTTTTTCAAAAATCACCCAATTCTTTATATCAGACCCCAATTTATACTCAAAGCACCTGAGCCTCTCCATATCAGACCCCAGTTTACACTGAAACCACCCAGTTCTTTAGATCAGACCCCAGTTTATACTGGAACCACTTCAATTTCCATAGCAAACCCCAATTTACACTGAAACCACCAATTTTTTTTTTTATCAGACCCCAATTTATACTGAAAGCACTCAGTTCTTTGTATCAGACCTAATTCTTTAGAATAGACCCCAATTTATACAGAAACCACCTAAATTTCCGTATCAGACCCTAATTTATACTGAAGCCACCTCATTTTTATATCAGACCTAATTCTTTAGATCAGATCCAAATTTACACTGAAGCCATGTAAATCTTCATATCAAACCCCAGTTTATACTGAAGCCACCTCATTTTTATATCAGACCTAATTCTTTATATCAGACCCCAATTTACACTGAAACCAACGAATTCTTGATATCAGACCCCAGTTTATACTGAAGGCACCTGATTTTTCTTATCTTATAAAGAACTGGATGGTTTCTGATGAATTCTTTATATCAGACCCAAATTTATACTCAAACCACCTGATTTTTTATATCAGACCTAATTCTTATTATCAGGCCAAATTTATATTGAAACCACCTAATTCTTGATATCAGACCCCAGTTTATTCTGAAACCACCTAAATCTTCATATCAGATCCCAAATTATACTGAAACCACTCAATTCTTTATGTCAGACCCCAATTTATACTGAAACCACCTGATTTTTTATATCAGACCTGATTCTTTTTAATCAGACCCAAACTTACACTGAAACCACTCAATTCTTGATATCAGACCCAAATTTACACTGAAACCACTCAATTCTTTCTATCAGACCCCAATTTCTACTGTAACCATGTAAATCTTCATATCAGACCCCAATTTATACTGAAACCACCTCATTTTTTATTTTTATACTGAAAACACCTAATTTTCCGTTTCAAACCCCAATTTATACTGAAATCATGTAATTCTTGATATCAGACCCAAATTTACACTGAAAACACCTAACATTTTATATCAGACCCAATTCTTGATATCAGACCAATTTACACTGAAACCACCTGATTCTGTATATCAGACCCAAATTTACACTGAAACCATCCAATTTTTTTATATCAGACCCAAATTTACACTGAAACGAATCAGGTTTTTATATCAGACCCGATTCTTTATATCAGACCCAAATTTAAACTGAAACCATCCAGTTCTTTATATCAAACCCCAATTTATACTGAAACCACATAATTCTTGATATCAGACCCCAATTTGTACTAAAACCACATAAATCTCCGTATCAGACCCCAATTTATACTAAAACCTCTCAATTCTCCATATCAGACCCCAAATAATTAATTCATTACTTTATTATTTATTCACATTACAAAACCTGAGAACATCAAATAATATTTAACAGAATTCATTAAGCATTCCTATTTATTTCTGTCTTTCTTTTCCCCTTCAAGCCTTAACCCACCTCAGTTTCACCACAGAACAACCCCAAAACAGCCCCCCAGAAACCCCCAGCACCCCCAAACTTGCAGGGATTTGTGGAATTCTGTGAATTTTGGGGTAAATTCTGCAATTTCCCTGCAGATTGCAGCGGTGGCCGTGATGTGCAAACCCCACCGGTGTCCCCACCTTAAATTAACCCACACCAATTTTACCACAAAACAACCCCAAAACAACCCCCAGAAACCCCCAGCACCCCCAAACTTGCAGGGATTTGTGGAATTTTGTGAATTTTGGGGTAAATTCTGCAATTTCCCTGCAGATTGCAGCGGTGGCCGTGATGTGCAAACCCCACCGGTGCCCCCACCTTAAATTAACCCACATCAATTTTACCCCAAAACAGCCCCCAGAAACCCCCAGCACCCCCAAACTTGCAGGGATTTGTGGGATTCTGTGAATTTTGGGGTAAATTCTGTAATTTCCCGGCAGATCGCCGTGGTGGCCGTGATGTGCAAACCCCACCGGTGCCCCCACATCAACTTCACAGGGAACATCTGTGTGTGAGTACTGGGGGAAAATCAGATTTACCAGATATCCATGGCTGTAAAATCAAAATTTTATTGGTGAAAATTACAAATGGGATGGTGGGACTGCTGGGAGTGGGATTTTTGTATTTTCTGAGCTGTTTTATTTTCCAGCTTCTGCCTCATCCCGTGGTTGTGGCAATGGGAAGGTGCCCTCAGCTCATTCCAGGGAACACATAGAGAATTCCATGTTTTATTACAATTTATTTTAAATTTAATGTTTTATTACAATTTATTTTAAATTTAATGTTTTATTACAACTTAATTTTAAAGTTTTTTTATAATTATACAAAGCCAAAGCACATTGCCAGCAGTTCTGTCCAGTGGCAGTGGGAAGGTGCCCTCAGCTCACACCCCAGGGAACACGCAGATAATTCCATGTTTTATTACAATTTAATTTCAATTCCATGTTTTATTACAATTTAATTTCAATTTCATGTTTTAATACAACTTATTTAAAAGTTTTTTTATAATTATGCAAAGCTAAAGGATATTGACAGCAGTTCTGTCCAGTGGCAGTGGGAAGGTGCCCTCAGCTCACACCCCAGGCAGCACACAGAGAATTTCATGTTTTATTACAATTTAATTTCAATTTTATGTTTTATTCCAACTTAATTTAAATTTAATACTTCATTACAACTTAATTTAAAAGTTTTTTTGACCAATCACACAAAGCAAAAGCGCATTGACAGTACTTCCATCCATTGTTTTAGCTTTGGTTGGAACAATGAATTATTTTGCTTATTTTGAATCCAACACCTGCTTGCCTCACGTCCCAGGCAGCGGACAAAAGAATTAATGTTACAACCTAATTTAAAAGTTTTTTTACAATTTCACAAAGCAAAAGCACATTGGCAGTAATTCCATTCAACCACTACAAGCACAGGTACCTATGGTTAAAACAATTAATTTATTTTTTGCTTATTTCAAATCCAATTCCTGCTTGTGAGCCTTCAAACACCGTGCACAGAGCTCCAGGATAAACCTTAAAATTTTCTAATTTCTCACGGGATAAACTTTTCTCCGGGAGTTATTCCAGACCAACATTTAGGTTGTTGTTCTCTTTGTTGTTACTTTTCCACATTTTCCATCGTTTTTGTGCTGATTTATCCCGTGGCCCTGCTCAGCTCCGATCCCAGCTCTGCTGTCTCTGAGCTGCCCTTGCAGCTTTCCCAAAATTCCCTGTTTTTATGGATTCCCACAAGGGATTCCCAGAGGAATTCCCAGTCCCTGTGGAAGTGGCACTTGGGGACAGGGATCTGGAATTCCCTGGCAGGTGGGATTGGGATTGATCCCAAATTGATCCACGTTGGATTTTGGGAACAATTCCTGCCCCATTCCCAGAGGAATTCCAGATCCCTGGGGAAATCCCACTCAGGGACAGGGATCTGGGATTCCCTGGCAGGAGGGATTGGGATTGATCCCAGGAATTGGCCTCAAGTTGTTCCAGGGAACTTCAGGTTGGATTTTGGGAACAATTCCTGCCCCATTCCCAGAGGAATTCCCAGTCCCTGTGGAAATCCCACCTGGGGACAGGGATCTGGAATTCCCTGGCAGGAGGGATTGGGATTGATCCCAGGAATTGGCCTCAAGTTGTTCCAGGGAACTTCAGGTTGGATTTTGGGAACAATTCTTGTCCAGGGAGGTTTGGAATCACCATTCCCAGAGGAATTCCCAGTCCCTGTGGAAGTGGCACTTGGGGACACGGATCTGGAATTCCTGACAGGAGGGGTTGGGATTGATCCCAAATTGTTCCAGGGTGGATTTTGGGAACAATTCCCTCCCAGTCCCTGTGGAAGTGGCACTTGGGGACACGGATCTGGGATTCCCTGACAGGAGGGATTGGGATTTCTCCCAGGGAGCAGCCAGAAGTTGTTCCAGGGAACTTCAGGCTGGATTTTGGGAACAATTCCTGCCCAGGGAGGTTTGCAATCCCCATTCCCAGAGGAATTCCCAATCCCCATGGAAATCCCACCTGGGGACATGGATCTGGAATTCCTGACAGGAGGGGTCGGGATTGATCCCAAATGGTTCCAGGTTGGATTTTGGGAACAATTCCTGCCCGGAAAGGCTTTTCCAGGGATTTTTGGAATCCCCATTCCTGAGGAATTCCCAGTCCCCATGGAAGTGACACCTGGGGGACACGGATCTGGAATTCCCTGACAGGAGGAATTCGGATTTCTCCCAATTTGTTCCAAGTTGGATTTTGGGAACAATTTCTGTCCCATTCTTGAGGAATCCCATATCCCCATGGAAGCGGCACTTGGGGACAGGCATCTGGAATTCCCTGGCACATGGGATTGGGATTTCTCCCAGATTGATCCAGGTTGGATTTTGGGAACAATTCCTGCCCAGGGAGGTTTGGAATCCCCATTCCTGAGGAATTCCCAGTCCCTGTGGAAGTGACACTTGGGGACACGGATTCAGAATTCCCTGATAGGAAAGAACTGGGAATTCACCCCAATTGTCCCAGGGAAATTCAGGTTGGATTTTGGGAACAATTCCTTCCCCACTCCCAGCAGAATTCCCAATCCCCATGGATTTGTGTCTTGGGGACACGGATCTGGGATTCCCTGATAGGAGGAATTGGGATTTCTCCCAGTTTGTTCCGGGTTGGATTTTGGGAACAATTCCCGCCCCACTCCTGAGGAATTCCCAATCCCCGTGGAAGTGACACCTGGGGGACACGGATCTGGAATTCCCTGACAGGAGGGGTCGGGATTGATCCCAAATTGTTCCAGGGTGGATTTTGGGAACAATTCCCGCCCCATTCCCAGAGGAATTCCCAAATTCCTGTGGAAATCCCACCTGGGGACGCGGATCTGGAATTCCCTGACAGGAGGAACTGGGATTGCTCCCAGATTGTCCCAGGTTGGATTTTGGGAACAATTCCTGCCCAGGGATTTTTGGAATCCCCATTCCTGAGGAATTCCCAATCCCCATGGAAGAATTATTATTAGTATCATCATTATTACTATTATTATTATTATTATTATTATTATTATTATTATTATTATTTTGTTATTGCTATTGCTATTGTTATTGTTACTATTACTATTACTATTACTATTACTATTGCTATTGCTATTGCTATTATTACTATTACTATTGCTATTATTACTATTATTACTATACATTATACATTATACATTATACATTAATAAATATTATTATTATTGTTACTGCTATTATTGTTGTTATTGTTATTATTACTATTGCTATCACTATTACTATCACTATTACTACTATTACTACCATCACTATTGCTATTACTATTATTACCATTAATACTATTAATACTATTATTACTATACATTATACATTATACATTATACATTAATAAATATTATTATTATTATTACTGTTATTATTGTTGTTATTGTTATTATTACTAATACTATTACTATTACTATTACTACCATCACTATCGCTATTACTATTATTACTATTATTACTATTATTACTATACATTATACATTATATATTATACAATAATAGATATTATTATTAATATTATAACTATTAATATTAATATTATTATCATTCTTTTTCTTCTTCTTCTTCCTCCTCCTCCTCCTCCCTGATTTTAATCAGAATTTTGGATTTTCCTTCCCCAGAGTCTCCCTGCGTTGTTTCAGGTCCCATTCAAATGAATTCCAATTAATTTAATTAATTAATTAATTAAAATCCCAGGTCCCGTTCCCATTCAAATGAATTCCAATGAATTAAATTTCATATAAATATCACGGGAATTATCAGAATTTTGAGTTTAGTTTGGATTTTTTTCTGTTTTTATTTTGCAGGTACTGCCCGGGGGGCCCTGACTCGGATTTCGAATATTCCACCCAGTCCTACACGGGATACGAGGTTCTGCTGCTGGATTTGATTGATTTTTCAATTTTTAATTCAATTATTTTTTAATTTTTAATTCAATAATTCTTTAATTTTTATTTTTCATTAATTTTTAATTATTCCAACGTTTTTGAGCCTGGCTTTGGCTTAGGCTGGGCTTTGTTTCTGCAGGGATAAAGCAGAAAATAAATGAAAAAATCCAAATAAACTTTGGTAAACGCAGAAATCCAAATAAAAAATAAACACAGAAATCCAAGTAAACTTTGAGAAACACAAAAATCAAAACAAAATAAATTTAAAAAATCAAAATAAACTTTGATAAACACAAAAATCAAAATAAAAAATAAACACAGAAATCCAAATAAACTTTGAGAAACACAAAAATCAAAACAAAATAAATTAAAAAAATCCAAATAAACTTTGATAAACACAAAAATCCAAATAAAAAATAAACACAATAATCAAAGTAAACACCATAATCAAAAGAAACTTTGGTAAACACAAAAATCAAAACAAAAAATAAATTAAGGAATCCAGATAAACTTTGGTAAACGCAGAAATCAAAATAAATAAACAGGAAAACCAAACCAAAAAATAAACACAAAAATCAAAATGAACTTTGATAAACACAAAAATCAAAATCAATTTTGATAAACAAAAAAGTCAAAATAAAAATATTCATTCAATTATTTTTTAATTTTTAATTCAATGATTCTCTAATTTTTATTTTTCATTAATTTTTAATTATTCCAACGTTTTTGAGCCTGGCTTTGGCTTAGGCTGGGCTTTGTTTCTGCAGGGATAAAGCAGAAAATAAATGAAAAAATCCAAATAAACTTTGGTAAACGCAGAAATCCAAATAAAAAATAAACACAGAAATCCAAGTAAACTTTGAGAAACACAAAAATCAAAACAAAATAAATTAAAAAAATCAAAATAAACTTTGATAAACACAAAAATCAAAATAAAAAATAAACACAGAAATCCAAGTAAACTTTGAGAAACACAAAAATCAAAACAAAAAATTAAAAAAATCAAAAGAAACTTTGATAAACACAAAAATCCAAATAAAAAATAAACACAGAAATCCAGATAAACTTTGAGAAACACAAAAATCAAAACAAAATAAATTAAAAAAATCCAAATAAACTTTGATAAACACAAAAATCCAAATAAAAAATAAACACAATAATCAAAGTAAACACCATCATCAAAAGAAACTTTGGTAAACACAAAAATCAAAACAAAAAATAAATTAAGGAATCCAGATAAACTTTGATAAACGCAGAAATCAAAATAAATAAACAGAAAAACCAAAACAAAAAATAAACACAAAAATCAAAATGAACTTTGATAAACACAAAAATCAAAATCAATTTTGATAAACAAAAAAGTCAAAATAAAAATATTCATTCAATTATTTTTTAATTTTTAATTCAATGATTCTTTAATTTTTATTTTTCATTAATTTTTAATTATTCCAACGTGTTTGAGCCTGGCTTTGGCTTAGGCTGGGCTTTGTTTCTGCAGGGATAAAGCAGAAAATAAATGAAAAAATCCAAATCAACTTTGATAAAAAAATCAAAATAAACTTTCACAAACACAAAAACCAAAACAAAAATAAATTTAAAAATCCAAATCAACTAGGATAAACACAAAAATCCAACTAAAAAATAAACACAGAAATCAAAATAAACTTTGATAAACACAAAAAATAAACACAAAAATCCAAATAAAAAATAAACACAAAAGTCAAAAATTTTCCAGATTTTTGCTTTGTGGGTTTGGAATCTTTGGGTCCGTGGGGATTTCAAATTTTCAACATTTTGGGGTTTTTTAATTCCATTTTTTAAGGAAAAAAAAGATTTGAAATTGAATTTTTTTGTTTTTTCAGCCGACGTCGATGAGGGCGATCCGGGCTCGGTACGATCCCTTCCTGCAGGCGCGGCACCGGCTGGAGCAGGTGAAATTAATTCATTTAATTACATTTAATTCAAATTAATTCATTTAAATTCCATTTAATTCTATTTTATTCCATTTTATTCCATTTTATTCCATTTTATTCAAATTGAGATTAAAGCCATGATCCCTTCCTGCAGGCGCGGCACCGGCTGGAGCAGGTGAAGTTCATTCATTTATTGCATTTAATTCAAATTAATTCCATTTAATTCCTTTTTATTCCTTTTTATTCCATTTTATTCAAATTGAGATTAAGGCTCCGACCCCTTCCTGCAGGCGCGGCACCGGCTGGAGCAGGTGAAATTAATTCATTTAATTACATTTAATTCAAATTAATTCCATTTAATTCCTTTTTATTCCATTTTATTCCTTTTTGTTTCATTTTATTCCATTTTATTCCATTTTATTCCATTTTATTCCATTTTATTCAAATTGTGATTAAGGCTCCGACCCCTTCCTGCAGGTGCGGCACCGGCTGGAGCAGGTGAATCTAATTAATTTGATTTAATTTAATTCAATTTAATTCATTTTAATTCCATTTTATTCCTTTTTATTCCTTTTTATTCCATTTTATTCCATTTTATTCAAATTGAGATTAAGGCTCCGACCCCTTCCTGCAGGCGCGGCACCGGCTGGAACAGATGAAATTAATTCATTTATTACATTTAATTCAAATTAATTCAATTTAATTCCTTTTTATTCCTTTTTATTCCATTTTATTCCTTTTTATTCCATTTTATTCCATTTAATTAAAATTGAGATTAAAGCTCCGACTCCTTCCTGCAGGCGCGGCACCGGCTGGAGCAGGTGAATTTATTTTATTTTATTTTATTTTATTTTATTTTATTTTATTTTATTCCATTTAATTCCATTTAATTCCATTTTATTCCATTTTATTCAAATTGAGATTAAAGCCATGATCCCTTCCTGCAGGCGCGGCACCGGCTGGAGCAGGTGAAGTTCATTCATTTATTGCATTTAATTCAAATTAATTCCATTTTATTCCATTTTATTCCATTTTATTCCATTTTATTCCTTTTTATTCCATTTTATTCAAATTGAGATTAAAGCCACGACCCCTTCCTGCAGGCGCGGCACCGGCTGGAGCAGGTGAAATTAATTAATTTATTACATTTAATTCAAATTAATTCAATTTAATTCCATTTTATTCCTTTTTATTCCATTTTATTCCATTTTATTCCTTTTTATTAAAATTGAGATTAAGGCTCCGACCCCGTCCTGCAGGCGCGGCACCGGCTGGAGCAGGTGAAATTAATTAATTTATTGCATTTAATTCAAATTAATTCAATTTAATTCCTTTTTATTCCATTTTATTCCATTTTATTCCATTTAATTAAAATTGAGATAAAAGCTCCGACCCCTTCCTGCAGGCTCGGCACCGGCTGGAACAGGTGAATCTAATTCAATTTAATTCAATTTAATTCAATTTAATTCCATTTAATTCCATTTTATTCCATTTTATTCAAATTTATATCCAAAAAATCAAATTGCTTTCAGTTTTTTACACTGTTGGGCTGCAGAAATTCAAAATTTAAAAAATCAAAAATTAAAAATTAAAAAATTAAAATCCAAAAATAAAAATTAAAAATTAAAAATTAAAAATTTAAACATTAAAATTATAAAAATTAAAAAAATTAAAAATTAAAAATTAAAATAGAAATTTTTAGAGTCAAATCAGAGCAGGCACAGGGTGGAGCAGGTGAATTTAATTAATTTTATTCCATTTTATTCCATTTTATTAAATTTTAGATAAAAAATCAAATTATTTTCATTTTCTACACTGTTGGGCTGCACAAATTCAAAATTTAAAAATTAAAAAGTAAATTTTAAAAATTTAAAAATTAAAAATTTAAAATAATTAAAAGTTGAAAATTAAAAGTTCAAATATTAAAAAAATTAAAAATTAAAATTTAAAATTTGAAATAGAAATTTTTAGAGTCAAATCTGAGCAGGCACAGGGTGCAGCAGGTAAATTTTATTCAATTTTAGATTAAAAAATCAAATTATTTCCATATTTTGCACTTAAGGGCTGCAGAAATTCAAAATGAAAAAATTAAAAATAACATTTGAAAATTAAAAAATTAAAACATTAAAAATCAAATTTGAACTTTTGAGTGGAGCAGGTGAATTTTATTCAGTTTTATTCCATTTCAGATCAAAAAAATAAAATTATTTCCAGTTTTTACGCTTGTGGGCTGCAGAAATTCAAAATCAAAATTAAAATTGAGATTTCTAGACCAGGCCCAGAGTGGAGCAGCTAAATTTTATTAAATTTTATTCAGTTTTAAATGCAAAAAAAAAAAGAAATCGAATTATTTCCATTCTTTGCACTTATGGGCTGTAGAAACTAAAAATTAAAAAGTTAAAATTAAAAATTAAAATTGAAATTTCTAGAGTTAAATCAGGGCAGGCACAGGGTGGAGCAGGTAAATTTAATTGAATTTAATTGAATTTTATTAAATTGAATTAAATTTTGTTCAATTTTAGATCAAAAAATAAAATTATTTCCATTTTTAAACTGACAGGCTGCAGAAATTCAAAATTAAAAAATTAAAAACTAAAAATTGAAAATAAAAAAATTGAAAACTAAAAATTAAGAATGAAAATTTAAAATTTAAAAATTTAAAAATTTAGAATTTAAATTGAAATTTCTAGAGTTAAATCAGGGCAGGCACAGGGTGGAGCAGGTGAATTTTATCAAATTTAATTAAAATTTAGATCCAAAAAATCAAATTATTTCCATTTTTTGCACTTATGGGTGGCAGAAATTCAAAATAAAAATTAAAACTAAAAATTAAAAATTAAAAATTTGAAAATTAAAAATTAAAAATGAAAATTAAAAAATTAAAAATAAAAATGTTTAGAGTTAAATCAGACCAGGCACAGAGTGGAGCAGGTCAATTTTATTCCATTTGAAATGTAAAAAAAAATCAAATTATTTCCATTTTTTGCACTTATGGGCTGCAGAAACTCAAAATTTAAAAATTCAAAATTAAAACTTAAAACTTAAAAATTAAAATTTAAACATTAAACATTTAAAAATTTAAAATTAAAATTAAAATTGAAATTTCTAGAGTTAAATCAGAGCAGGCCCAGGGTGGAGCAGGTGAATTTTATTCGATTTTATTAAATTTTATATCAAAAAAATCAAATTGATTTCTTTTTTTTTCACTGTTGGGCTGCACAAATTCAAAATTCAAAAATAAAAAATCGAAAATTAAAAAACAAAAATCCAAAAATTAAAATTCCAAAAAAAATTCAAAAATTAAAATTTAAAAATTTAAACATTAAAAGTATAAAAATGAAAAAAATTAAAAATTAAAAAATAAGAAATTAAAATAGAAATTTTTAGAGTCAAATCAAAGGGTGGATGGGAGCGGTCATTTCAATTTTCCTCTAATAATTTGAATTTTTTTGTGATTTTTTAAATTTTTCGTGTAATAATTTGAATTTTCCCGTAATAATTTTACTTTTTTTGTAATAATTTTAATTTAATTTAATTTTATTTTATTTTATTTCCATGTTTAGCGGCAGCAGCCGGGGCACAGCGTGGACAAAGTTGAATTTATCGTGATGGGGGCGATAATTTGAATTTTTCCTGCGATAATTTGAATTTTTTGTGTAATATTTTGAATTTTCCTGTAATAATTTGAATTTTTTTGAATAATTTTTATTTTATTTTAATTTATTTTATTTCATTCCCAGCTGCAGCAGCCGGGGCACAGCGTGGACAAGGGGGAGTCCATCGTGATGGGAGCAATAATTTGAATTTTCCTGCGATAATTTGAATTTTTCCTGCGATAATTTCAATTTTTTTGTGATTTTTTTCATTTTTCTTGTAATAATTTGAATTTTTTTGGTAATAATTTTTATTTTTTTGTAATAAATTTAATTTTTAGCTGCAGCAGCCGGGGCACAGCATGGACAAGGGGGAGTTCATTGTGATGGGAGCAATAATTTGAATTTTCCTGTGATAATTTCAATTTTTCCTGTAACAATTTGAATTTTTTTGTGTTTTTTTTCATTTTTCCTGTAATAATTTATATTTAATTTAATTTTATTTATTTTTCAGCTGCAGCAGCCGGGGCACAGCGTGGACAAGGGGGAGTCCATTGTCATGGGAGCGAGAATTTGAATTTTCCTGTGGTTTTTTTCAATTTTTCCTGTAACAATTTGAATTTTTTTGTGGTTTTTTTCATTTTTCCTGTAATAATTTAAATTTTATTTTATTTTATTTAATTTTTAGCTGCAGCAGCCGGGGCACAGCGTGGACAAGGGGGAGTTCATTGTGATGGGAGCAATAATTTGAATTTTCCTGTGATAATTTGAATTTTTCCTGTAACAATTTCAATTTTTTTGTGGTTTTTTTCATTTTTCTTGTAACAATTTGAATTTTTTTGGTAATAATTTTTATTTTTTTGTAATAAATTTAATTTTTAGCTGCAGCAGCCGGGGCACAGCGTGGACAAGGGGGAGTCCATTGTCATGGGAGCGAGAATTTGAATTTTCCTGTGGTTTTTTTCATTTTTCCTGTAACAATTTGAATTTTTTTGTGATTTTTTTCATTTTTCCTGTAATAATTTAAATTTTATTTTATTTTATTTCATTCCCAGCTGCAGCAGCCGGGGCACAGCGTGGACAAGGGGGAGTCCATCGTGATGGGAGCAATAATTTGAATTTTTCCTGCGATAATTTCAATTTTTCCTGTAACAATTTGAATTTTTTTGTGATTTTTTTCATTTTTCTTGTAATAATTTGAATTTTTTTGGTAATAATTTTTATTTTTTTGTAATAAATTTAAATTTTAGCTGCAGCAGCCGGGGCACAGCGTGGACAAGGGGGAGTCCATCGTGATGGGAGCAATAATTTGAATTTTTCCTGCGATAATTTCAATTTTTCCTGTAACAATTTGAATTTTTTTGTGATTTTTTTCATTTTTCCTGTAATAATTTATATTTAATTTAATTTTATTTATTTTTTAGCTGCAGCAGCCGGGGCACAGCGTGGACAAGGTGGAGTCCATCGTGATGGGAGCAATAATTTGAATTTTCCTGTGATTTTTTTCATTTTTCCTGTAACAACTTGAATTTTTTTGTGGTTTTTTTCATTTTTCCTGTAATAATTTACATTTAATTTAATTTTATTTTGTTTTCTGCTGCAGCAGCCGGGGCACAGCGTGGACAAGGGGGAGTCCATCGTGATGGGAGCAATAATTTGAATTTTTCCTGCGATAATTTCAATTTTTCCTGTAATAATTTGAATTTTTTTGTGATTTTTTTCATTTTTCTTGTAATAATTTGAATTTTTTTGGTAATAATTTTTATTTTTTTGTAATAAATTTAATTTTTAGCTGCAGCAGCCGGGGCACAGCGTGGACAAGGTGGAGTCCATTGTCATGGGAGTGAGAATTTGAATTTTCCTGTGATTTTTTTCATTTTTCCTGGAACAATTTGAATTTTTTTGTGGTTTTTTTCATTTTTCCTGTAATAATTTACATTTTATTTTATTTTATTTCATTCCCAGCTGCAGCAGCCGGGGCACAGTGTGGACAAGGGGGAGTCCATCGTGATGGGAGCAATAATTTGAATTTTCCTGCGATAATTTCAATTTTTCCTGTAACAATTTGAATTTTTTTGTGGTTTTTTTCATTTTTCCTGTAATAATTTATATTTAATTTAATTTTATTTATTTTTTAGCTGCAGCAGCCGGGGCACAGCGTGGACAAGGTGGAGTCCATTGTCATGGGAGCAATAATTTGAATTTTCCTGCGATAATTTCAATTTTTCCTGTAACAATTTGAATTTTTTTGTGATTTTTTTTCATTTTTCTTGTAATAATTTGAATTTTTTTGGAAATAATTTTTATTTTTTTGTAATAAATTTAAGTTTTAGCTGCAGCAGCCGGGGCACAGCGTGGACAAGGGGGAGTCCATCGTGATGGGAGCAATAATTTGAATTTTTCCTGCGATAATTTGAATTTTTCCTGTAACAACTTGAATTTTTTTGTGTTTTTTTTCATTTTTCCTGTAATAATTTATATTTAATTTAATTTTATTTATTTTTTAGCTGCAGCAGCTGGGGCACAGCGTGGACAAGGTGGAGTCCATTGTCATGGGAGCAATAATTTGAATTTTTCCTGCGATAATTTCAATTTTTCCTGTAACAATTTGAATTTTTTTGTGGTTTTTTTCATTTTTCCTGTAATAATTTAAATTTAATTTAATTTTATTTATTTTTCAGCTGCAGCAGCTGGGGCACAGCGTGGACAAGGGGGAGTCCATCGTGATGGGAGCAATAATTTGAATTTTTCCTGCGATAATTTCAATTTTTCCTGTAACAATTTGAATTTTTTTGTGATTTTTTTCATTTTTCCTGTAATAATTTATATTTAATTTAATTTTATTTATTTTTTAGCTGCAGCAGCCGGGGCACAGCGTGGACAAGGAGGAGTCCATCGTGATGGGAGCAATAATTTGAATTTTCCTGTGGTTTTTTTCATTTTTCCTGTAACAATTTGAATTTTTTTGTGGTTTTTTTCATTTTTCCTGTAATAATTTATATTTAATTTAATTTTATTTATTTTTCAGCTGCAGCAGCCGGGGCACAGCGTGGACAAGGGGGAGTTCATTGTGATGGGAGCAATAATTTGAATTTTCCTGTGATAATTTGAATTTTTCCTGTAACAATTTCAATTTTTTTGTGATTTTTTTCATTTTTCTTGTAACAATTTGAATTTTTTTGGTAATAATTTTTATTTTTTTGTAATAAATTTAATTTTTAGCTGCAGCAGCCGGGGCACAGCGTGGACAAGGGGGAGTCCATTGTCATGGGAGCGAGAATTTGAATTTTCCTGTGATTTTTTTCATTTTTCCTGTAACAATTTGAATTTTTTTGTGGTTTTTTTCATTTTTCCTGTAATAATTTAAATTTTATTTAATTTTATTTAATTTTTAGCTGCAGCAGCCGGGGCACAGCGTGGACAAGGGGGAGTCCATCATGATGGGAGCAATAATTTGAATTTTCCTGCGATAATTTGAATTTTTCCTGTAACAATTTGAATTTTTTTGTGGTTTTTTTCATTTTTCCTGTAATAATTTATATTTAATTTAATTTTATTTATTTTTCAGCTGCAGCAGCCGGGGCACAGCGTGGACAAGGGGGAGTTCATCGTGATGGGAGCAATAATTTGAATTTTTTTGTGATTTTTTTCATTTTTCCTGTAACAATTTGAATTTTTTTGTGGTTTTTTTCATTTTTCCTGTAATAATTTAAATTTAATTTAATTTTATTTAAGTTTTAGCTGCAGCAGCCGGGGCACAGCGTGGACAAGGGGGAGTCCATTGTCATGGGAGCGAGAATTTGAATTTTTCCTGCGATAATTTGAATTTTTCCTGTAACAATTTGAATTTTTTTGTGATTTTTTTCATTTTTCCTGTAACAACTTGAATTTTTTTGTGGTTTTTTTCATTTTTCCTGTAATAATTTATATTTAATTTAATTTTATTTATTTTTCAGCTGCAGCAGCTGGGGCACAGCGTGGACAAGGTTGAATTCATCGTGATGGGGGGAACGTTCATGGCCCTGCCCGAGGATTACCGCGATTTCTTCATCCGCAGCCTGCACGATGCTTTATCTGGGCACACCTCCCACAGCGTGGCTGAGGCTGTCAGGTGAGAAATTATTTATCATTTATAATCTTATTTATTTATTTATAGATATAGAATGTAAATTATTCGTGGAATTGTCCATGTAAATGGAATAAATGCATCAGGAACCTGCACCGTGCCCTGGGCACACCTCCAGTAATGTGGGACAGGCTGTCAGGTGAGAAACAATTCCAAATTTATATTATTTATTTAAAATAAAATGAGGAAAATCTGGTGGTTTTTTGAAAATTTTTGGTTTTATGAAAATTGGGTTTTTTTGAAAATCTTTGGGTTTTGTGCGTTGAGTATTCCAACAACGTGGCTGAGGCTGTCAGGCGAGCAAATATTTCTGTATTTATAAATGCACAATTATTTATTTTAAAATTATTTCTTTCTGTTTATAAATATACAATGTGAATTATTTATTTTAAAATTATTTATTTCTATGTTTATAAATTCGCAATGTAAATTATTTATGAAATTTTGCATTTCCACCTGCACCGTGCCCTGGGCACACCTCAAACAGCGTGGCTGAGGCTCTCAGGTGGGGAATATTTATCATTTAAATGATTTATTAAAAAAACATGAAGAAAATTGAGGTTTTTTTGGAAAATATTTGGGTTTTTGATAATTGGTTTTTTTGAAAATATTTGGTTTTTGTGCAATGAATATTCCAATAATGTGGTAGAGGCTGTCAGGTGAGGAAATATTTATATATTTGTAAATATAGAATTTCAATTATTTATTTAAAAATTATTTACTTCTATATTTATAAATATGCTATTTCAGTTACTTATTCAAGAATTTCTTTATTTCTGTATTTCTGAATACATAATGGAAATTATTCATGAAATTTTGCATTTCCACCTGCACCGTGCCCTGGGCACACCTCAAACAGCGTGGCTGAGGCTCTCAGGTGGGGAATATTTATCATTTAAATTATTTATTTAAAAAAAACATGAAGAAAATTGAGGTTTTTTTTGGAAATATTTGGGTTTTTGAAAATTGTTTTTTTTTTAAATATTTGGTTTTTGTGCAATGAATATTCCAATAATGTGGTAGAGGCTGTCAGGTGAGGAAACATTTATATATTTGTAAATATAGAATTTCAGTTATTTAGTAAAAAAATTATTTATTTCTGTATTTATAAGTGTACGATTGAAGCTAATTATTTTGAAGTTATTTAATTTTATATTTATGAATTTACAACCTAAATGATTTATGAAATTGTGCATTCACGCCTGCGCCGTGCCCTGGGCACACCTCCAGTGACGTGGCTGAGGCTCTCAGGTGAGGAATTAATTCCAAATTTATATTATTTATTCTTTTAAAATTAAAAAAAAATGAGGAAAATTGGTTTGGTGTGAAAATATTTGGGTTTTGTGCAATGAATATTCCAACAAAAGCTGTCAGGTGAGGAATTATTTGCAATTTCAATTATTTATTCTTTAAAAGCAATGAGGAAAATCCTTGTTTAATTTAATTTTTTTTATTTAATTTTTGTCCATTTAATTCACATAATTTAAATTTCCAATTTTAATTACTTATTTTCAAGGATAAATGAGGAAAATTGGGGTTTTTTTGAAAATATTCGGTTTTTGAGCACTGAATATTCCAACAACGTGGCTGAGGCTGTCAGGTGAACAAATATTTCTGTATTTATAAATACACAATTGAAATTATTTAGCAGAACAAATGCTTATTTCTATATTTATAAATACACAATTGAAATTATTTAGTAGAACAAATGCTTATTTCTATATTTATAAATACACAATTGAAATTATTTAGCAGAACAAATGCTTATTTCTATATTTATAAATACACAATTGAAATTATTTAGTAGAACAAATATTTATTTCTATGTTTATAAATATACAGTGCAAATTATTTATTTAAAAATGATTTATTTCTATATTTATAAATGTACAATTGAAGTTAATTATTTTAAGATTATTTGTTTGTATATTTATGAATTTACAAGGTAAATAATTTATGAAATTGTGCATTCACGCCTGCGCCTGCCCTGGGCACAGCTCCAGTGACGTGGCTGAGGCTCTCAGGTGAGGAATTATTCCAAATTTAAATGATTTCTTTTTTAAAAACAATGAGAAAAATCCAAATTTTTTGGAGAATTTCTGATTTTTGAGCACTGGCTATCCTAACAATGTGGCAGAACCTGTCAGGTGGAGAAATATTCCCAATTTAAATTATTTATTCTTCAAAAACAGTGAGGAAAAACAAACCCAAAAAAACCCCCAAAAAACCCCCCAAAAACCCCAACAAACTCAAAAAAACCCCAAAAAACCAAAAAAAAATCCCCAAAAAACCCCCAAAAATCTGATTTTAGACCGCTCACCTCTAAATAAAATTATTTAAAATCCATCATTTCCACCAGAAATTATTTTAAATCCAATTTTTTATATCCCAAAGCTGCGCCTTCATTCCGATTTTCCACTGGAGGGCGCCAAACCCTTTTATTTCCTTTATTTCTCTCTTTATTTCCTTTATTTATTTCTTTTTTCTTTTATTTATTTCTTCATTTCTTTTATTTATTTCTTTATTTCCTTTATTTTTTCTTTTTTTCTTTATTTATTTCTTTATTTCCTTTATTTATTACTTTATTTCCTTTATTTATTTCTTGATTTTCTTTATTTATTTCTTTATTTCCTTTATTTATTTCTTTATTTCCTTTATTTATTTCTTGATTTTCTTTATTTATTTCTTTATTTCCTTTATTTATTTCTTGATTTTCTTTATTTATTTCTTTATTTCCTTCATTTCTTTCTTTATTTCATTTTTTCTTTTTTTCCTTTATTTATTTCTTTATTTCATTTCCTTTATTTATTTCTTTGTTCCTTTATTTCTTTCTTTATTTCCTTTATTTTTTCTTTTTTCCTTTATTTATTTCTTTATTTCCTTTATTTATTTCTTTTATTCTTTTATTTATTTCTTTTTTCTTTTATTTCCTTCTTCATTTCTTTTATTTATTTCTTTTTTTCTTTTTCTCCTTTATTTATTTCTTTATTTCCTTTATTTATTTCTTCATTTTCTTTATTTATTTCTTTATTTCCTTCATTTCTTTCTTTGTTCCTTTATTTCTTTCTTTATTTCCTTTCTTTATTTCTTTATTTCCTTTATTTATTTCTTTTATTCCTTTATTTATTTCTTTTTTCTTTTATTTATTTCTTCATTTCTTTTATTTATTTCTTTATTTCCTTTATTTTTTCTTTTTTTCTTTATTTATTTCTTTATTTCCTTCATTTCTTTCTTTATTTCCTTTATTTTTTCTTTTTTCTTTCTTTATTTCTTTATTTCCTTTATTTATTTCTTCATTTCCTTTATTTATTTCTTTTTTCTTTTATTTCCTTCTTCATTTCTTTTATTTATTTCTTTTTTTTCTTTATTTTTTCTTTTTCTCCTTTATTTATATCTTTATTTCCTTTATTTATTTCTTCATTTTCTTTATTTATTTCTTTATTTCCTTCATTTCTTTCTTTGTTCCTTTATTTCTTTCTTTATTTCCTTTATTTTTTCTTTTTTTCCTTTATTTATTTCTTTATTTCCTTTATTTATTTCTTCATTTCCTTTATTTATTTCTTTTATTCCTTTATTTATTTCTTTTTTTATTTCCTTCTTCATTTCTTTTATTTATTATTTTTTTCTTTATTTTTTCTTTTTTTCCTTTATTTCTTTATTTCCTTTATTTATTTCTTCATTTCCTTTATTTGTTTCTTTTTTCCTTTATTTCCTTTCTTTATTTCTTTTTTTTCCTCCCACTTTTTCTTGCTCAAAAACCCAGCAAAACTCCCCTGCTGCCCTTTGCCAGTGGGATTTGATCGAAATAAAATAAAAAATAAATTGTAAAAGACTTTGTGAAGGACGCGGCTCCTCAGGGAGCTCCATTCACATCCTTGCAGTGATTCATGCTGTGGCAAATCCAGATTTTATTTTATTTTTTATTTCTTTTCTTTTCTTTTCTTTTCTTTTTTTTATTTCATTTCATTTCATTTCATTTCATTTTATTTTATTTTTTTCCCTGCTGTTGCAGGTGTCTTTATTGAGCCTCAAATCATTTTTCAAGCTGCTGGGCAGATAAGAAAGGGGAAAAAAAAAATGAATTTTTAAATTTTAAAGGCAAAGTGACACCAGGAGAGGGTGGCAAAAATCACTGGGGGTTCCTCAGCAGATAAATATCAAAATTTCTGTTTTTAACATCAAAATCAAGGTTGATATTTTTATTATAAGGTTTATATTTTTAACATAGAAATAAAGGTTTTTATTTTCAACATCAGGTTTATATTTTTAACATTAAAATCAAGGTTTATATTTTTAATATAAGGTTTATATTTTTAATATAAAAATCAAGGTTTATATTTTTAACATGAAAATCAAGGTTTATATTTTTAGCATAAAGTTTATATTTTTAATATAAAAATCAAGGTTTATATTTTTAACATAAGGTTTATATTTTTAATATAAAAATCAAGGTTTATCTTTTTAATATAAGGTTTATATTCTAAACATGAAAATCAAGGTATATATTTTTAATGTAAGGTTTATATTTTTAACATGAAAATCAAGGTTTATATTGTTAACATAAGATTTATATTTTTAATATAAAAATCAAGGTTTATCTTTTTAATATAAGGTTTATATTTTTAACATGAAAATCAAGGTTTATATTGTTAACATAAGATTTATGTTTTTAACATCAAAATCAATGTTTATATTTCTAACACAAGGTTTATATTTTTAACATCAAAATCAAGGTTTGCATTTTTAACATAAGCTTTATATTTTAACATCAAAATCGATGTTTATATTTTTAACACGAGGTTTATATTTTTAACAGAAGCTTTATATTTTTAACACGAAAATCAAGGTTTATATTTTGTTAAAAACGTATTTTTAATATAAAAACCGCTCTGTGGGAGGTGCTGGAGTCGCATTGGGAGGGGCCCGAGCTTTTGGTGGGATTGATTTCTGTTTGTGAAATCTGATTTCTGTTTGTGAAATCTGATTTCTGTTTGTGAAATCTGATTTCTGTTTGTGGCCGGGATTCAGCTCCTTCAGGGGAAAAAATCCACTAAATCCCAGATGAAAGTGGATTTTTTATAGTTTAAAAATTGTGGAGTTGTGGGATGGTCAGATCTCCTGGACAGGGAGATTTTTCCTTGGAAATTTGGATTTTTGGCACCACTGTCAGAACTGAGGAGCTCTGAGGGCTTTTCCCTGTTGGGATCTCAGTGGGATCTGGAGGATTCATTTCTTGGGCAAATCTTTATTTAAATTGAGATTTTGTGCAGGGATTCCTTCATTGGGAAAGGAGCTTCAGAATCTCAGAATCCTGGCACAGTTTGGGTTGGAATCTCAGAATCCTGGCACAGTTTGGGTTGGAATCTCAGAATCCTGGCATGATTTGGGTTGGAATCTCAGAATCCTGGCACAGTTTGGGTTGGAATCTCAGAATTCTGCTGTGGTTTGGGTTGGAATCTCAGAATTCCTTCATGGTTTGGGTTGGAATCTCAGAATTCTGATGTAGTTTGGGTTGGAATCTCAGAATCCTGGCAGGGTTTGGGTTGGAATCTCAGAATCCTGGCACAGTTTGGGTTGGAATCTCAGAATTCTGCTGTGGTTTGGGTTGGAATCTCAGAATTCCTTCATGGTTTGGGTTGGAATCTCAGAATCCTGGCATGATTTGGGTTGGAATCTCAGAATTCTGGTGTGGTTTGGGTTGGAATCTCAGAATTCCTTAATGGTTTGGGTTGGAATGTCAGAATTCTGATGTAGTTTGGGTTGGAATCTCAGAATCCTGGTTTGGGTTGGAATCTCAGAATTCTGATGTAGTTTGGGTTGGAATCTCAGAATCCTGGCATGATTTGGGTTGGAATCTCAGAATCCTGGCACAGTTTGGGTTGGAATCTCAGAATTCTGCTGTGGTTTGGGTTGGAATCTCAGAATTCCTTCATGGTTTGGGTTGGAATCTCAGAATCCTGGCACGGTTTGGGTTGGAATCTCAGAATTCCTTCATGGTTTGGGTTGGAATCTCAGAATCCTGGCACGGTTTGGGTTGGAATCTCAGAATTCCTTCATGGTTTGGGTTGGAATCTCAGAATTCTGATGTAGTTTGGGTTGGAATCTCAGAATCCTGGTTTGGGTTGGAATCTCAGAATCCTGGCAGGGTTTGGGTTGGAATCTCAGAATCCTGGCACGGTTTGGGTTGGAATCTCAGAATTCTGGTGTGGTTTGGGTTGGAATCTCAGAATCCTGGCACGGTTTGGGTTGGAATCTCAGAATTCTGGTGTGGTTTGGGTTGGAATCTCAGAATTCTGATGTAGTTTGGGTTGGAATCTCAGAATCCTGGCAGGGTTTGGGTTGGAATCTCAGAATCCTGGCAGGGTTTGGGTTGGAATCTCAGAATTCTGGTGTGGTTTGGGTTGGAATCTCAGAATTCTGATGTAGTTTGGGTTGGAATCTCAGAATCCTGGCACGGTTTGGGTTGGAATCTCAGAATCCTGGCATGATTTGGGTTGGAATCTCAGAATTCCTTCATGGTTTGGGTTGGAATCTCAGAATTCTGATGTAGTTTGGGTTGGAATCTCAGAATCCTGGTTTGGGTTGGAATCTCAGAATCCTGGCAGGGTTTGGGTTGGAATCTCAGAATCCTGGCACAGTTTGGGTTGGAATCTCAGAATTCTGCTGTGGTTTGGGTTGGAATCTCAGAATTCCTTCATGGTTTGGGTTGGAATCTCAGAATCCTGGCACGGTTTGGGTTGGAATCTCAGAATTCTGCTGTAGTTTGGGTTGGAATCTCAGAATCCTGGCACTGTTTGGGTTGGAATCTCAGAATTCTGGTGTGGTTTGGGTTGGAATCTCAGAATTCTGATGTAGTTTGGGTTGGAATCTCAGAATCCTGGTTTGGGTTGGAATCTCAGAATCCTGGCACGGTTTGGGTTGGAATCTCAGAATTCTGATGTAGTTTGGGTTGGAATCTCAGAATCCTGGCACAGTTTGGGTTGGAATCTCAGAATTCTGATGTAGTTTGGGTTGGAATCTCAGAATCCTGGTTTGGGTTGGAATCTCAGAATCCTGGCAGGGTTTGGGTTGGAATCTCAGAATCCTGGCACAGTTTGGGTTGGAATCTCAGAATTCTGCTGTGGTTTGGGTTGGAATCTCAGAATTCCTTCATGGTTTGGGTTGGAATCTCAGAATCCTGGCACGGTTTGGGTTGGAATCTCAGAATTCTGCTGTAGTTTGGGTTGGAATCTCAGAATCCTGGCACTGTTTGGGTTGGAATCTCAGAATTCTGGTGTGGTTTGGGTTGGAATCTCAGAATTCTGATGTAGTTTGGGTTGGAATCTCAGAATCCTGGTTTGGGTTGGAATCTCAGAATCCTGGCACGGTTTGGGTTGGAATCTCAGAATTCTGATGTAGTTTGGGTTGGAATCTCAGAATCCTGGCACAGTTTGGGTTGGAATCTCAGAATTCTGATGTAGTTTGGGTTTGGAATCTCAGAATCCTGATGTGGTTTGGGTTGGAATCTCAGAATCCTGGCACGGTTTGGGTTGGAATCTCAGAATCCTGATGTAGTTTGGGTTGGAATCTCAGAATCCTGATGTAGTTTGGGTTGGAAATGACCTCAACTCATCCCTTTCACACACAGGGACACTTCCACTCTCCTATCTTTCTCCAAATCCCAATTTTCTCCCTTTTTTCCCAATAATTTCTGCTTTTTTCCCCATCCCCCTGCTCTGCTGTCACGCTGACACACCGACCTGAGGGACCATCACTCTGCCAACGTCATTTCCAATTTTCATTTTGTGCTGCTTCATCTCCATCAGCCCTCTGGGGTGCCAGCCGATCTGATAAAAATGATCCTTTCCCTCCCTGGGACAGGGTAAAGAAATCCCTGAATCTCCCGAAATTCTGCTTTTCTTACAGATAAGTGTGTGAACTCACCGAGTGAAAGTTTGGTTTTTACAAAGATAAACAGGGAAACTTCCAGAGCGGAGGAAAAAAATGAATTCCCTGGGTTTTAATATTTCTGCAGCGCCTCCCTTTTGGGGGAATAAACAGGAATTCAGACAGAAGTCTTTGCTCGAGGTGGTTGGGTTTGCTTGAGAAATAACTCGGCCGAGGAGTGGGTGAAGAATTGCAGAGCCAGGGGCGATCTTTGTTTCTGAGAGTTGTGAGAAGTTTTCATTTTTCTCACTCCAGAATTTCTGGGTGCCTGTCAGGCCGGGCTGCGGGCTCGCTGATAAGCTTCCCTTCCTTAGGAGCAGCTTTGCAATTATTAACATTATTCAGGATTTCACAATCTCCCACAAAGATCGCCGCTGGATGGATTTTTTTGCTTGTCCCTCACGCCTTCCCCTCACGGCCCCGAGCGCGGGGCTGATGGCGGCGCCTTTTGCTCTTTGCGAGGACAATGAGGGCAGGGGGAAGGTGTAAAATTGCGGCTTTTTTTTGCTCTTTGAGGACAATGAGGGCAGGGGGAAGGTGTAAAATGATGTAAAACGCTCATGCAGATGAGAATTCCTGATGCAGATGAGAATTCATTGCCGCTCCCGTCTCTCACCTGACCCGTGAGTCATGAGGGGAGCGGGGCCCGCTGAGCGCCGCCGCCGCCACCGTGAGTCACCACCGAGGCGGGAGCGGACTCCTAATGAGGGAAAAAGGGATGGGGAAAGGATGGGAAATGTGGGATTGCAGCTCCTGAACCTCCTGGGAGTGCAGGCACAGAAATCTGGGATTGTGCAGCCCTGAGCCAGGCTGGGGACAGGCAGGAAAATCTGGGATTGTGCAGGCCTGAACCTCCTGAACCGGGATGGGGGAAAGACAGGAAAATGTGGGATTGTGCAGCCCTGAACAACCCTGGGGGAAAAGCAGGAAAATCTGGGATTGTGCAGTCCTGAACCACCCTGGAGGAAAAGCAGGAAAATCTGGGATTGTGCAGCCCTGAACCTCCTGAACTGGGCTGGGGGAAAGACAGGAAAATCTGGGATTGTGCAGACCTGAACAACCCCGGGGGAAAGGCACGAAAATCTGGGAGTGCAGCCCTGAACCTTCTGAGCTGGGATGGGGAGAAGGCTGGAAAATCTGGGATTGTGCAGGAGCTGGAATTCCAGCCTGGGGGAAAAGCAGGAAAATCTGCGATTGTGCGGCCCTGAACAACCCTGGGTGAAAAGCAGGAAAATGTGGGATTGTGCAGCCCTGAACCTCCTGGGATTGCAGCCCTGAACCTCCTGAACTGGGATGGGGGAAGGCAGGAAAATCTGGGATTGCAGCCCTGAGCTTTGTGGGAGTGCAGGAGCTGGAATTCCAGGCTGGGGGAAAAGCAGGAAAATCTGGGATTGCAGCTCCTGAGCCAGGCTGGGGACAGGCAGGAAAATCTGGGATTGTGCAGGCCTGAACCTCCTGAACCGGGATGGGGGAAAGCAGGAAAATGTGGGATTGTGCAGCCCTGAACAACCCTGGGGGAAAAGCAGGAAAATCTGGGATTGTGTGGCCCTGAACAACCCTGGGGGAAAGGCTGGAAAATCTGGGATTGTGCAGCCCTGAACCTCCTGGGGAAAAAGCAGGAAAATCTGGGATTGCAGCCCCTGAGCCATCTTGGGGGAAAAGCAGGAAAATCTGGGATTGCAGTCCTGCAGCTCCTGAGCCAGGCTGGGGGAAAAGCAGGAAAATCTGGGATTGGAGATCCTGAGCATCCTGAGCCAGGCTGGGGGAAAAGCAGGAAAATCTGGAATTGCAGCTCCTGAGCCATCTTGGGGAAAAAGCAGGAAAATCTGGAATTGCAGCTCCTGAGCCATCTTGGGGAAAAAGCAGGAAAATCTGGAATTGCAGCTCCTGAGCCAGGCTGGGGGAAAAGCAGGAAAATCTGGAATTGCAGCTCCTGAGCCAGGCTGGGGGAAAAGCAGGAAAATCTGGAATTGCAGCTCCTGAGCCAGGCTGGGGGAAAAGCAGGAAAATCTGGGATTGCAGCTCCTGAGCCAGGCTGGGGAAAAGCAGGAAATCTGGGATTGCAGCTCCTGAGCCAGGCTGGGGGAAAAGCAGGAAAATCTGGAATTGCAGCTCCTGAGCCAGGCTGGGGGAAAAGCAGGAAAATCTGGGATTGCAGCTCCTGAGCCAGGCTGGGGGAAAAGCAGGAAAATCTGGGATTGCAGCTCCTGAGCCAGGCTGGGGGAAAAGCAGGAAAATCTGGAATTGCAGCTCCTGAGCCAGGCTGGGGGAAAAGCAGGAAAATCTGGGATTGCAGCTCCTGAGCCAGGCTGGGGGAAAAGCAGGAAAATCTGGGATTGCAGCTCCTGAGCCAGGCTGGGGGAAAAGCAGGAAAATCTGGAATTGCAGCTCCTGAGCCAGGCTGGGGGAAAAGCAGGAAAATCTGGGATTGCAGCTCCTGAGCCAGGCTGGGGGAAAAGCAGGAAAATCTGGAATTGCAGCTCCTGAGCCAGGCTGGGGGAAAAGCAGGAAAATCTGGGATTGCAGCTCCTGAGCCAGGCTGGGGGAAAAGCAGGAAAATCTGGGATTGCAGCTCCTGAGCCAGGCTGGGGGGTTCATGTGGGGAAAAAATGGATCCAGGGAGAGCTCAGAGCCTGAAGGGGCTCCAGGAGAGCTGGAGAGGGTTTGGGATAAAGCATGGAGGGACAGGGAATGGATTCCCACTGGGAAAAGTGAGGTTTGGATGGGATTTGGGAGGAATTCCTGGCTGGATAGAATTCCCAGAGATCCTGGAAGTGTCCAAGGAGCAGCCTGATCTCGTGGGAGGTTCCTGCAGGTGCTTGGAATGGCCCCTTCCCACCCAAACCTTTCAGTGATTTTCATGATTTCTGTGATTTCAGTATCTTTAAAAAAGATTTGGGGAGGTTTAGATGGGATTTGGGAAGGAATTCCTGGCTGGATGGAATTCCCAGAAATCCCTGGCAGTGTCCAAGGCCAGGCTGGAGCAGCTGATCCCATGGGAGGTTCCTGCAGGTGCTTGGAATTGGATCATCTTGAAGGTTCCATTTTCCCCACCCAAACCATTCCATGATTTTCATGATTTCTGTGATTTCAGGATCTTTAGAGGCACAAAAATAATTTATAATTTTTAATTTTTTGCTTCAAGAGCGTGGTGGGCTCCCTGATGTTGGATGGGGCTGCATGCGGCGGTTCAGGGCCTCTCCTGTACCCGATTTTCCTGAGACAACTTCCAGGTGCAGATCAGACCCAAACATCGCCAGAACAGACCCAAAACTGTGAATCAGCCCCTTAAAAATCTCATTTTCCACATGGAACCCCAGAACTCCTCAGGAGGAATTGCTGCCTTTGATTCCTGAGGAGCAGCTCCCAACTCCACCTTTTCCTTGGATTTCCATCCACTTTTTCCCTGGATTTCCATCCACTTTTTCCCTGGATTTCCATCCGCCTTTTCCTTGGATTTCCATCCACTTTTTCCCTGGATTTCCATCCCCCATTTCCTTGGATTTCCATCCCCCATTTCCTTGGATTTCCATCCACCTTTTTCTTGGATTTCCATCCACGTTATCCTTGGATTTCCATCCACTTTTTCCCTGGATTTCCATCCACCTTTTCCTTGGATTTCCATCCACTTTTTCCCTGGATTTCCATCCCCCATTTCCTTGGATTTCCATCCCCATTTCCTTGGATTTCCATCCACCTTTTTCTTGGATTTCCATCCACGTTATCCTTGGATTTCCATCCACTTTTTCCCTGGATTTCCATCCACCTTTTCCTTGGATTTCCATCCACTTTTTCCCTGGATTTCCATCCCCCATTTCCTTGGATTTCCATCCCCCATTTCCTTGGATTTCCATCCACCTTTTTCTTGGATTTCCATCCACGTTATCCTTGGATTTCCATCCACTTTTTCCCTGGATTTCCATCCACCTTTTCATTGGATTTCCTTCCACCATTTCCTTGGATTTCCAGCCAATTTTTCCTTGGATTTCCATCCACCTTTTCCTCGGATTTCCATCCATCTTTTCCTTGGATTTCCATCCACCTTTTCCTTGGATTTCCTTCCACCTTTTCCTTGGATTTCCATCCATCTTTTCCTTGGATTTCCTCCAGTTTTTCCTTGGATTTCCATCCCCCATTTCCTTGGATTTCCATCCACCTTTTCATTGGATTTCCTTCCACCTTTTCCCTCCCCCCCCTTGGATTTCCATCCACCTTTTCCTTGGATTTCCATCCATCTTTTCCTTGGATTTCCATCCCCCATTTCCTTGGATTTCCATCCACCTTTTCCTTGTCTATCCATCCACCTTTTCATTGGCTATCCATCCATCTTTTTCCTTGGATTTCCATCCACCTTTTCATTAGATTTCCATCCACCATTCCCTTGTATTTCCATCCACCATTTCCTTGGATTTCCTTCCACATTTTCCTTGGATTTCCATCCACCATTCCCTTGGATTTCCATCCACCATTTCCTTGGATTTCCATCCACCTTTTCCTTGGATTTCAGATATTTCAGCCAGAGACCTCTCCAACCTCAGCCATTCTGAGATTTCCACCCAAATTTTAGATATTTCAGCCGGAGACTTCTCCAATCCCAACATTCTCAAATCCCACCTTAATTTCAGATATTTCAGCCAGAGACATCTCCAACCCCTTCCATTCTCAGATTCCCACCTTAATTTCAGGTATTTCAGCCAGAAACCTCTCCAATCCCAACATTCTCAAATTTCCACCCCAATTTCAGATATTTCATCCAGAGATCTCTCCAACCTCAACCATTCTCAATTTTCCACCCAAATTTCTGATATTTCATCCAGAGATCTTTCCAACCTCAACCATTCTCAGATTTCCACATTAATTCCAGATATTTCAGCCAGAGACCTCTCCAACCTCAACCATTCTCAATTTCCACCCAAATTTCAGATATTTCATCCAAAGACTTCTCCAACCCCAACCAATCTCAATTTCCCACATTAATTTCAGATATTTCAGCCAGAGACCTCTTCAATCCAAACATTCTCAGATTTCTATCTTAATTTCAGATAATTCATCCAAAGACTTCTCCAATCCCAACATTCTCAAATCCCACCTTAATTTCAGATATTTCAGCCAGAGACCTCTCCATCCCCAACATTCTCAAATTCTCACCTTAATTTCAGATATTTCATCCAAAGACTTCTCCAACCCAAACCATTCTCAGATCCCACCATAATTTCTGATATTTCAGGCAGAGACATCTCCAACCCCAAAATTCTGAATTTCCCACCCTAATTTCTGATATTTCAGCCAGAGACCTCTCCAACCTCAACCATTCTCAATTTCCCACCCAAATTTCAGATATTTCATCCAAAGACCTCTCCAACCCCAACCAATCTCAGATTTCACCTTAATTTCAGATTTTTCAGCCAGAGACCTTTCCAACCTCAACCATCTCAATTTCCCACCCAAATTTCAGATATTTCATCCAAAGACCTCTCCAACCCCAACCA